AAAGAAAGAAAGAAAGAAAGAAAGAAAGAAAGAAAGAAAGAAAGAAAGAAAGAAAGAAAGAAAGAAAGAAAGAAAGAAAACAAACTCAGAGATAGCAATGTAAGCAGTTTACTTTTATTTAATGTAGGAATTTGTAGAAGAGCATGTAAGGGATATTGGGGAGACTATATTCTGTCTGTAGTTTATTTTCATTCCACTGTCCTCCTTTAATTAGCAAAAAAGTATTTTTAACATTATGTTTTAAATGTATTTAGTTCCAACATTTAATTGGCCACTACTTTCATTTATTATGTAAGGTAGTTAAGGAACAAGCTGTCAACAAGGTATGGGGATTACTACCCTAAAAGTAATATGTTAGAGCAATTTTATTCCTAGCAAGGTGTGGCCAGAACATTTTCCCTCAAGGAAAAAGAAAACACAAAGGAAAGGACTTACAATAATTATGATCACACACATCTAATTAGAGAAACAAGGTGGGTGAGGTAGTATCTTTTATTGGACCATTTTCTGCTGGTGAAAGAGAGAAGAGCTTCTCTCTCTCACCAATCGAAGTTGGTCCAATAAAAGGTATTACCTCACCCATCTTGTCTCTCTAATATCCTGGGACCTACATGGCTAGAACAACACTGCACACATCTAATTAAACACCACCACTTCCAAGTTTTTCTGACAACTTACTGGTGTTCCTGGAGCTACCCTGGACACTATTACCGGCATCTTCTGGTCATATCCTCCCTTTAAAAAAAATTCAAAAAGTCACAAATTGTGAGTGTCACTGAACAATCTTTAAAAATATGAATAGACATCTATTTTTCGTTACCTTTACATTGAAGCCAAATCTTCCATTTTCGTCTGGTTTCATTCTGATCAAAACAAGATTGTCATGGGGAACACCACCATTGGGCTAAACAAAAAGGAAGTATATAACATTACATGTAATTTGTTTTCAGCTAATGTAGGCTTTAAAGAAAGATTACTATAATACCACAGCTGTTCCAAATGTCCTCATCAAATGTCCAATAATTGCTATTGGGCCCTGAAAAAGCAGCAATAACCATGCAAATTGTTTCTCTCACCCTAGTTTGATGAGGGGGCTCATGCACTCAGAGTTGCTATGCACAACTAATCTGCAAATGTGTTCTCCTGGAAGCAAGCTGGCAAAATAGGGAACTACCCAAATAATAAATTGACTAATAAAATTACAAGTCATTTAAATATAACAGTTACTGCAGTATCAAGTGGATATGTTACAAATTTGCTGTGACTGAAGTAAAAATGTATTGTTATATAGCTTGGGCAGGTCACAATACCTGTGTGTCTTAGTTTGCACTGGTTACAACTTGGGTTTAATATGGGGGCAAGTTTAGCAGGGAGCTCCTGGCCCTACAACTCACCTCTCCAGGAACAGTTTGAAATACTAATATGAGGTTTACTACACATGCTCCAGGGCTGTGTGGAGAGGAATACGAAGTACCCTATACAGACAGAGCTCGGTGATTATAATCCCCCCGCCACCCTCCCACACCATTTATTTGATTGAGGCAACATCACAAACCCTCTCCCTCCACCCCACAAACTCCTATCAGGAAATTCCCATCCACTGCTCCTCATACCTCCTCCCACATACAAATGCAATTATACATATTTCCTATGCCTCATTCAGCTCTTTCAGAACAGCACTGACGCTGGTGGCATGGCACAGCCATCTGTGGAACTACAGACCTGAATCTTGTGCCTTTCAACAAGGTGCTATTTCAATTGCTTTGAATTTGCTTGAACTAGCCCCTCATACTTATCCTACCTCACTGGTATGTGAGATGGATTAGTCATTGTTTTGCACAGCACTTAGAGGAGGACATAAAGTGTTAAATATTAAACAGTGATACTTCAAGTTAAAGGGACTGGTATTCAACTTTTAAAAACCCACCTGCTTCTCACCACATTGGATTATTTGAACCCTAAAAAGTTAAACTTGCAAAAGAACTCTGCAGTGTGTGGTTGTAGGGACCAGAAAGGAAGTGTAAGTTCACCTGGAGGATCCAGTTTGATGAACTTGAACTTTCAAAAGAAACATCCTCCTCACAAACCAGCTACCCTATCATTGACATGACTACATAGTAGAAAGCCCTTGATTCCAGAAAATACTTATAGTGTTGAAGAGAGGAAGGTTGGGGATAAGAAACAGTGCAAGTTAGGCTAACTATGGTTAGTGTAACTGCAAGCCCTGCAAACTTAACTTGTACTTTGAGAGTTAAACCCAGTTTTTTCCCTCTCCCATGACATTCAGATTTAAGGGCTCAGCAGTTATTTCTACAAAAACAGGACCATCCTCCAGAGGAAAAACAAGATGAACAAACATGACCCATGAGCTTACTGTGGATTTTTCAGGTGATGCGGGAACATCAAACGTTTCATTAATATGGTTATCCAGTTCTTGCTGGGAGTGTGAATAATGAATTTGGTTCCAACTGTTCTTTTTAGATTGTTTGGGTGGTAGTGCAGGAGGTTGCCCATCTATAGGAGTCTCTTGGGATCTGATACAAAAATAAAATGGTGGAGGGAGACAATTTTATCTGAAAATTCTTAGCAAACTGAACAAGTGGCTAAAAGAACCCCAGAGTTTGAGAGTTACAAAAAATCTGACATTTTTGTTATCTGAAGGGTTTGATTTTGTGGATATGATTTCTACAGCATATATGCAAATACATATGTTGTGTACAGTATATTTAAAAAAGAATCACGAACATTCAAAGATTGATTAAGCTAGAGTATTCTTGTTCAGTGTATTGTTTTAAACAGTTTACCTACTCTTTTAATCCACTTAATCAATATGTTGGAGATTGCTTTATAAATCTCATACATACCTAGTAATCTATTTCTAAAACAAATATATATCATTTTATATTTTTCCCAGACAGAAAAGCAATTAATTTACATCTTAGACTGCCTGTAAATTAAACCTTAAAAATAAAGCTAAATTCAGTTTTGAACAAATTAGCACAATTAAGAATCTGACAATACTCATTTTTTGTACTTTTAACAGCAAGATGATTTAAAATCCAATCCAGCATGAAAAAACTTCACACACTTTGTACATTAGCTTCTTAAAACCACATTTGATTAGCAAGTTCTAAACATATGATTGTGCATGCAATTCACAATTCCCCACTGTCTAATTTGCAATTGAGTGCATATTATTCAGCAGCACATTTTTAAATATTACCTTGCATACAAAATTTAGCCCAAGAGAGAATATGTAGAGTCATTTTTTTTTAAATGGCATTTTTACCATCGATTTACCAGACTGATCTTTAACAATACTGCCCAAAATTAGGGTAGCGCCCTCAAAAGTTCACATTTCTAGACTAACGTGCACACTTGTTAGGTCTGAGACTGTGGTGCTGTAGCTTTAACAACAGCATACCAGTTTATGCTGTGTATTTATCTATTATGGTGGATACCCCCTTGACCACTTTTTATGGCATAAGAATTTAAGTACATAATTTTCTCATGACAAATGCAGGACCCATCTTTCATTTTACGGCTTTATACTTATAAATGAAGTGGAAGCTTTTCAGAGGCACAAAGGAGCAGTCAGGTGCTTAACTCCCTTTGACTTTGAAAATCAGTCCCTAAATACTAACAATCCACCAACTGCATTAAAACCCATTTTTATTAAGCACCTACCTACTTATTACGACTCAGATGGAGCACTACAATAAAGCTAGGGCCTAATCCTAAAAACATTTAGGCACATAAATAACTTTACCCTTGTGAGTATTCGCACTCAATTGGTCTGATCATATATGAGCCTTATTTTGCTAACAGTTAATTATGAAACATCATAATACTTCAACTCAATTTGCTGCAAGATCTAAAGTATCTTAGACAGCCACACGTGAAACTCAATACTGTATAATTTATTTCATTGTAATTAAAGCAAAACACAGTTCACAAGGCTCTAGTCATTAGGTAAAAAGGAAAAATATGGTGGTTGTTATCCCAGTAACATTAAATAAAGGAAAATATTATGTATTTTCTGATAAATTATTTAAGCCACAAAAAAAAGTCTTTGCACATGACAGTGGAATGAGAAAAGGAGTATTTCACTTAGAAGATTATATAGCTTTCCCCCTGAAGTTTTGATGAAATATAATTAAGGCCCTTTGTATTAGGTATTGACTAATTTCCCCCCCAAATTCCCAGGTTTTTGAAAAAGCCAGTTTTGGAGTTTTACTGATTTTTCAGGACCCAGAAATTTTTCAAAGGCAAGCGGATGGGCTGTGTCTAAAGGCTGGTGGGGGTGGGGGAGTCAGTACTCACGGGTTGCAGCCTTCCTTTCCTCTCCTGACCCCGGCCCTTCAGCATGTCCCCATTCGCTCCCTCTGTGAAGGTGGGGACTGAGACAGGCAGGGAGCCAAGTGCTGGCAGATAAGCCTAACTGCTGCAGGGACAGGGCTGCAGGGAGTAAAAGACTGCACCCTTTGAATACTGGCCCATTCATGGACAGAGCCCCCTTCTGACCCTGGTCCTTCAGAATAGGCCTGGATGAGGCTGCGCTGAAGGGCTGTGGTCCAGAGGGGGCTGTGTCCATCAGTGGAAGCAGATGGCGTTCTGTGCAGATGGTCATGGCTGCCTGGACCAGGCTCCTTGACCGTCTAGCTCCCTGTGACACAGACCTCATGGCAAAGGGTCCCGTTTTTTTGCAAACATGCCCTTAGTCACCAGGGGATAATATATCTTGGTGATGGCCCATTCAAACAGAAGGGAGTTGTCACCCTGCCCTGTTTAGCCAGTGGTGTAATACCAGGTTCAATGGTCTAGACTTGCTCCATCCCAGCCTCGGTACCGAGCCAGGGAGTCTCCGGTACATCAAATACTGAGAGTTCTCTAGAGTGTGTGAATTCCTGAGGTACTGACTGAACTGGTGCCTATGATTGTCAGTGGGTCAGCATGGAGGGGATCAGGGATCTTGGCCGTACCGAGTGCTCAGAGGCTGAATGGCTTGCTAATGATGATGCTGATGGTACTACTAATACTGGCAGCATCTTCTTAGCAGTGGTGCGGTCTTGTCCTTACCTTTTTCTGTCAGTACCATTGCTTTGGTGCCTTTGCCCATCTGGTCTTTAGGTCCATCAATGATACCTGCTGCTTCAGTACCATAGCTCATGGTGCTCTTGTGAGCTATGGGTACCGTGTTTGGACTGTCTCAGTACCGAACGCGCCGGTGATCTTTTTTGGCTAGCTCGGGGCTCACTCTGGGGACTCTCAGTTCTGGTTTTTGAAGCCTTACGCAAGGGGTCTTCGTCTGTTTTCTGTGAACCATAGCTCCTAGATGTTGGGGGCTGCTGGGAAAATTCGCGCTGTCTGGATGGACTTGTCCTGTCCACTATTTGCTGGGGTGGACCCCCTTCCTCTCCACTTCCCCGAGTACCCCACTACCCCCCTCGGCCAGGCCAGCAGGGAGCCTGGTCAGTTGTGGGAGCCATGCAGACCCTCCACCTGCCCACGGTGCGGGGGGAGCCGAGAGCAGCCCCCAGCCCGAGTGCCGCCTGGTCCAGGGAAGGTGGAGGGTCCACGACTCCACACCGGCTCACCACAGCTGCCCGTGTGGCTCTCCCCAACCTGGCTCTGGCCAGGTTGGGGAGCCTTAGAGCCGCAGCCTAACCATGGTAAGAGCTGTGTGGGCAGATGTTGGGTGCTGCAGACCCTCCATCTGCCCTGAGCGGGGGATCTAGGGGGTGGGGACACAGGCAGGGGAATGATTTTGTCGCTCCCCCTGGGCTCCCTGGCCCTGGTCCAGCTTGGCCTTTGAGGGAAGAGGGGACAGAGGTGGGCCCTTTGGGGAGGGGCCTTGGGGGATGGGGACTCAGAGGAAGAGGGGGCGGGGAAGGTTCCCACACCCTTGTCAGAGAAAAGTGCTTGAGTGGCTGAAAGGCTGGTGGTGTTAAGGAACTCTCTCACACCAGAGGCAGGGAGCAACAAGGTGACTCTCAGTCCTGGGGAAGCCAAGAACTGTTAACTGCAGCAGTTGGCCCTAGGGCATAGAGCCCCATCTACTTCCTCTGCCAGACAGAGCCTGTGCAGGGGAAGCAAATGGGGCTACGTTGAATAGCTGAGGTTGGGAGGCGGCTGTCTTGCACGGGAACCAATAGTCACAGGGTGCAGTCTTTTGCTGCCCTTCTGACCCCAGCCCTTCAGCATTGTTCACTTCCTTTGCATTGGGGGGAGGGGAGAAAGAATGAGACGGACAGGGAGCTGGGTCCCAGCAGACCAGACTGCTTAACCACAGCAGGGAGGGGAAGTCTTCCTCAACTGCCACATGGTGAATATCCCTTCACGCCCCACGAGTTCTAGTTTTTTACTGATTTTCTCCCATTTTTAAAATTTTTAAATAAAACCCAATAAATTCCTGGGAAATTAAATAAGAAAAACAACAAAAACAAATCAACAAAAAAGAAAATGAAAGGCCTTAAATATAACAAATAAGACTCCTTTAAAAAAGTATAAACAAAATATTAGAAACCTCAAACCTAAGTCATATTGACACCCATCTTGGCAGACTTCTTATTTCCACATTTAAATGGATCTTATATCTACCAATTTGACAGATATTTATGCTTAACTTCCAAATTTTATCAAATTAAAATTTTTGTACCAGCAGAATGGTTGAAAAAACCCTCATACTATTTCTTCAAACTGTAATGACTGTAGAAGCTGAGATTCATAACAGTAGGAAATAAAAGCATACTGAATAAGCATATTTCCTAATAGTAATTTCCACAAAGAACTTGATAACTTCTGGTGTCTTATCAGAATGGGCAACGTGTGTTTTATTTTTCCTTCAGCAGCAATGGAAACAGTCTTTCACCAGTTTTTGTAGAGAGAGAAAAACTGAGTACTAACATTTTCTAATTAACTTTCAAGGCAGTTATAAATTATTTAGGCACTGGCCCATTATTAGTACTTAGAGCTTTTTAATTGTCTGCATATTTATTCAGTGAAAAGTCTGGCTGGCATAGTTTACTCATCTTTTTTAAGTGCTGGACAAGAAGATATGTTTTCCTCTAAATGTTAACTTCTGAAAGTTAGCAAATATTAAGAAGTTTAAAAAACACAAATAATTCCAACAACAAAGCAAAAAGGTGATCTTTTTGGCTACCAGTCTTCATATATGAGTTAATGAAAACTGAGTATTTCCTATAGAAAATATAAATAGCAAACATTTGAAAAAAAGATACTTAAATGAGCACTTTAGTAGTAACAGTGCAAAGAGCTGTAATATATTAGCATAATGAATTGTGAGAACTAACAATCAAGCCTGGGGCAAAAACTTCATTGCTTTATCTCTGCTCAGTCAGCTCTGAATTTCCTTATGAATGCTTAGACAATGACAGCGAAAGCAGCCTATTTTGCAGTCAAAGCAGCTCTCTGTGTTACCACATTCAGCAATTTGCATAATAATAAAACAAAACAAAAACTCCCACACTGACCAACTGCATGTATTTGATATAAATATTCGGTCTGCCTTTTA